ACACCTTTAGTCCTAGCACATAGGAGGCTGAGGCAGGTGGATCCTGGTGAGTCTGAGGCCAGCCTGGTCGGCCTGGTGAGTTCTAGGCCAGCCAGTGCTAGGCAGTGAGAAAATAAGGCAAACAAAAAGCAAGAGTTCAAAGCCATTGTAAATTACTAGTGACTTCCAGGTCAGCCTGGGGTATACTAGACTCTTTTCAAAAATGAAAATGTATCCAACGAACAAGACAAAAACAAAAAAACAAACAAAAAAACAACCAACCAAACAAAAACCTCCCAAACCTTGAAAGAGAATGTGGGTGTGTGAAAAAATATGTTTAATCCTAGGTGCTGAAATGAAACCCAAATATGGTTGCACCTTAGCTCCAAAGGAAGGCTTCCCTTTACCTGCCTTCCTTCCTTCTTTTTTTTTTTTTCTTTTTGGCAGGTATAGGCGCGCTTTGTGTGTGTGTGTGTGTGTGTGTGTGTGTATCTGTGTGTATGTGTGTGTGTGTGTGTGTGTGTGTGTATGTGTGTGTGTGTATGTGTGTGTTGTTGACATTCCATGCTGTTGAGCTGACTGCAGGCTGTGCAGTGTGTTCTGGGATCCCAACTTGGTGAGCTGTCACCCATGTTGGGCTGGGTCTTGGTGATCAGCTGTCTTTGAGTCACATCTTGAAGGGACACTAGCCCACTCCAGCATGTGGCCCTGGCAGGACTTTCCTCTCTCCTCCCCGTTGCCTTGCTAAAACCCATTAGATTACATTCCTAAAGCTAGCCACCAAGGTCTATTCTAGCCACCAAGGTCTATTCTAGCCACCAAGGTCTATTCCCTTATTTGGCCACTTCCTCCTCCTGCGGCTGACCACTAAGGTCCAGCTATCAAACCATTGAAGTCCAGCTATCAGAAGCCCCCTTTGGCTCACCTAATTAACATGCCCAATCAAAATTAAACACCTCATCCTAACACAGGGTTTCCCATTTTACCTTTACAGACCGCCACATCTGTCTCCTCTCTACCCAGAGGCAGTCCTTTGTCCCACCGGGACAAATACCCCTGCCCCCTTTCCTTTGTCCCCTTCCCCTTCTCCCTCGTCCCTTATCTCCTCTACCACTGCATCCTAGCCCATTCTAACACAGACCTCCCCCCTTTTCTCTGCTTAAAAATTACACCTGGAGGTCATTTGCTGCTCTTTTTCTGCCTGAGTCAGAAAGCAGCCCCTTTACCTTTTCCTCCCTGCTTAATAAAGGAGCTAGCTCTCTGTGAAAACAGGTGTTTGGGTGTGGTTTGTGCCTAATCTGGGGTCTGGGAGGGAGCCCTTGATGTGCAGAAGTCCCCTTCCCATCTGGTCCTCTGAGTAACCCCAATAAAATTGATTCATTACGTTGGACTTTGGTGGTATCCATAGTTGGTCTGTCCTGGGATCCCTATCTGGGCTGAGTAGTCCTGTATGTGCTGTGTCTCTCAGGAAAAGTTCTGTCACACTGTAACAGTGTTGATAAATTGGTCTGGTTTTTGAGACTGCGCTCTTGTAACCCAGACGGCCCCTAATTCACAATGTAGCCAATCCCTGTAATCCCCGTTCTTGGGAAGTAGAAGCTGGAGACTCAGGAGACCAAGGTCATCTCAGCTTCATGAGACTGTCTCAAAAATAAAAATGATTTTAAAAAGGTATTTACCATTCAACCTCGAGTTTCTTTTTTCTCATCTTTTCCTTTTGACTGTAGTCTATGTAAGGAGATTCTTTTTCCTCTCAAGAGGAGCTTGCTCCACAATATTCTAATTGCTCATTCCGTAAGCCTTCTCCACCTTGTAAAACTTTTACAAAGGAATTCAGATCTTTTAATCTTCCCCACCTTGCAAAACTTTTATGCAAATATTTAATCCTCCACCCTGCCTCCCTGTTAAACATTTGTTTACACACACACACACACACACACACACACACACACACACACACACACACACACACACACGGCGATGGCCTAGGGCAGCAGACCTCTTTTCCTTTTTCTTTACCTCCTTTATTCACATTTTTGAAAAACTAGCCAATCTTGAAAGAGTGTGAGGTTAGACGCCAGTCAATGGGGAAACAACATCACAACCTGCATGCAAATAAAAGCCACGTGAGGCTGGGGTTGCTGGAGCCCGCCTTTAATCACAGCCCTGGAAAGGCAGCTGCAGGTTATCTCTGAGTTTAGCTACATAGTGAGTTCCAGGCCAGCCAGAGCTATATAGTAAGACATTGTTTCCAAAAAAACCCAAAGAAAACAAAGTGAACCTCCTGTCTCATCCTTTCCTTTTGTTTGTGTGATTGTTTGTGGGATGCCAAGAATATCTGTTTGCAACACCTAGAAATTAAGTATCATTCCTTAGCAGAACTTGAGATCTCCTTGCAATGAACTTTCATAGTCCCCCTCCCTCTGATGGACTCCTCAGACAATTTAAAGATTGTCAATGAAAAAAAATTTTTTTTATTATATTTAATATGTATGCGTAGGTTAAAGGTCAGAGAAGAAACCTGTAGAAGTCAGTTCTCTCCACCCTGGGATTAAACTCCAATGCTCATTTGGCGGCGGTCACTCTCTGTCCTGAGGCGTCTCATCAACCATCAGAATGTGGATTTAACGAGTTAAATGTCTTCTAAAGTAAACGGAGCACACAGACATTTCCAATTTCCATTTCCATTTCCCCGGATTTCTGGAAGTGTTTTCTTTTCAGGCCGGCAGAAGCCACTGAGCACACAGCTTTTTACAATGTATACAAGACCTCCTTACAAACGTCTCCTTTGTTCAAATGCTCTAACGGAGGTGGCAGACACAGGGCCACGAGAGAACAATGAAAAATGCTTGTTCCTAGCAGGGAAGGAGTAGGATTTGAGCTAGAGATTCAGACAGAATTTGGGAGGAGAACTGTATTTGAAACACTGAAAAGAATGTACAAGCACGATGTTGAACAGAATTTACGGAAGACCCTTATTTTAGACAAGGCCCCACTAGGCTGCAGCAAACGAATCAAAACAGTCTCTCTGCTAAAGGCGTATGCCACCAAAGCCCAAACTGTCTCTGTCTCCACTTCTACAAGGAGAGTTAACTTTGAAATGGCCACTTCGCCCACTTTGTAACCTTTGAAACACTTTGGATCCTCCCGCCTCCACCTCCCAAGTGCTGGAATTACAGGCATGCACTACCATACACAGCTTGTAGGAATGGATTTTTTAAAGTTCATGCATTCATTTATATTCATTCAATTATTCAATAATATTTGTTTGAGGTGCTAAGGATATAAAAATCAAGGATAATCTTCCTGGGGCAGAGGCAGGAGGATAGCTACAAGTTTGAGGTCAGCCTGGTTAACATAGGTAAATCCCAGGGTATCCAGGCTACATAGTAAGACCTTGTATCAAACACACACACACACACACACACACACACACACACACACACACACACAATGCATGGTGGTTCATCCTATAACCTTACAATTTGGTAGTCTGAGGTTGTTTCAACACAAACAAAATGCCCAGTTGTAGCACACACCCATTACCTCAGCAGTTGGAAGTCGGGCCCAGTGGAATCTCCTGAAGTTGGACCGGTCACAGCATGTCCTGGGTCCACTCCCCTAGCCATGTGTCCTCAGCCGTGGAAGATGTCATAGCAGCCCAGAGCATCACTTCTAGGTGCTCGCATGTGTATGTGGCAGTGTGTGTGCCACTGGGCTCAGTCAGATAGTTTGGTCTACACAGCAAGTTCCTGGCCAGCACAGCATGTCTTATTATAAATTATTTTCAGCAAATGCTAAAGTTTATAATGATGGCCTATATTCTTCAGAAACATCAACCCCCCCCCCCCCCCGTGTGTGTGTGTGTGTGTGTGTGTGTGTGTGTGTGTGTGTGTGTGTGCATGTGCGCATGCGTGTGTGTGCTGGGATTGAACTCAAGCCTCCTGCTTGCTGGATAAGCAGTAACACTCTCCGTAAACAGTGGTGACTTCGTACCCTATCCTACAGGCCCAGGGTATCTCTTTTCATACTTTGTCTCCTTTACTGGGCTGTGAACACTTTTACTTATTTATTTTGATATGGTATCTTGTTATGTAGACCCAGTTTGCCTCCAACTCCAACTCCTCCCATCTCCACCTCCAAGTGCTGGGATTATAGGTGTGTACCATCACCTCACGCTCCACACTTGCAGCAATTCGAAGGCCAGGGCAATGAGGAATTCCTCTCTCTGTGACTTCAGCAAGCGGAATGGAAGGAGGTGGGATTAGTCTTTCTCGAGAAATAAAAAATATATATATATATATATATACATGTATATTTATACACATGCACACACACACACATTTGGTTTTTGGAGTCAGGGTTTCTCTGTGTAGCCCTGGCTATCCTAGAAGTCACTCTGTAGACCTAACTAGTCACTCTATGGCTTCTAACTCAGGGATCTGCCTGCCTCGGCCTCCTGAGTGCTGGATTAAGGTGTGTGCCACCACCTCCTGGCTTTTTGGCAAACGAAACTATTTCTAATGACTTACCAGCATGGAACATTTTTCAGCCTGTTTCTTGGAAGTAGTTCAGTCTTTAATTATAGACATTCATTTGCCTTGCCTGAAATAACTTTCTGGAACTAAAACTTTGAAATCTTTTAATAAAAATCGGTTCCATCTAGAAGTCAAGTTTGTAACTTGCAAGACAGAAAAGTTAAGAGTCTAAATTCTAAATAAGCCTCTTCAATTCAAAATTCAAACCTGAAATGGCAACGGGTGCCTGTACAAGCTCTTGGGAGGATCAGGAGTTCAGGGCCAGCCTCAACTACACTGCAAGGCTGATGCCAATCTAGGCTAGACTACACCATGGTTCAAAACAAGAAAAACAATGACAACAAAAAAAGAAAACAAAACGAAAAACCACCCTCAGAATTCCACATGCTGCATTCCCCCATAAATTATATGCTCTGTGCAATACTGGTAGGTGTTAGAATTCATTTAGAAAATTTTACACTTAAGTTCACTAAAGGTACATACGTGATGAGTGAAGACAGAGAGCCTGGTTTAACTTAGTAGGCGACTGGCTTTTCTCTTGCAGACCACAGCAGTGTGGGCGATCACATACCCAGGCTGTGTCCTGGATATCTACATCTTCCTAATCTTGCCACCCTTGGTCAATTGGCACGTGGCTTTCCGGACATCAACCATCCGAGACAACTCTGAAATTAGTTGCTAATTAATGACGTGAGTCGGACGATTCCGGTTGCTCGGCGGTTATTTACCTCCATTCATCACGCCCCAGTTGATCCCCGACCAATAAAACCTGCGGCTCCTGGGTCACCAGCCCTGCCCAGGACCGCACAGCATCCGGCGGGGAACCGGGCGGGAGACCGAGAGGCGTGACTTCGGCCAAAGCTCGGGTCTGCGCGCGCGCGCGCGCGGCGCGGCGCGAGCCTCCGTGAACGCGCGG